AAAACTTTATGAAATAATTGAAAAAGATAGAATTCGATCAAAAGATGCAAAAAAATGCGATATTTTATTTTATGAGGATCAAAAAACTGCAAGAACAATGATAATTGACAAAATAGACAAAAAATATCAAAAAGTTTATTCCAACAGAGAGTTTCGCAAAAGGAAAGCCAAGGAGTTAGAGCAAAAGGAAGAATCTGCCACCAAAATCTCAAAAAAAACAATTTTCATCATATAGTAATTGTTTTAATGAAAATCAAGATTTATTTTTGTTAGAAAATTTTGATAATGAAGAATTTCAATATAATAATTATGATGAAATTGAAAAACAATCAACTAACATAAAACAAAATAAAGTGACAGTAACAGTAGATATTGATGAACTTATTAAAAAAACTTCAACATTTTGTGGGCGTTTTGGAATTTCTATTGGAGTACAGACAGGATTATTAGCATTATTTTTAAGATGTGGAAATATCAATCTTAATGAAGTAAAACTTTCAAAAACAAAAGTAGAAAAAATAAGAAAAGATTTGTATGTAAGTGAATCAGAGTTAATTAAGAAAAAAATAAAAGAAAAATGTAGAAATAGTAATTTAATTTTGCACATTGATACAAAAAAAGTTACAACTTTAAATGAAGACTATATTTCTGAAGTAAGCGAACGTTTAGCTATTGTTGTTACAAGTCCAGACTTGGATTTAAATACAAATGGAAAACAACAGGATGAGCTGCTAGGCATAGTTGAATGTCAATCGGGGAAAGGATATGATCAAGCATTGGCATTTTTTAATGTTATAAAAAAGTTTGGAATTGAAAGCATTATAATTGGGATTTGTACTGACACAACAGCATGTAACACTGGTTGTAATAAGGGTTGTATAAGTATTTTAGAAGAACTTTTAAATCGACCTCTGTTAAGACTTCTTTGTAGAAAACATTCCCAAGAAAGACATATTTTACATGCAATAAATGCAATCACTAAAACAGAAAGCAAAGGTCCATCAAAATCTATTTTTATGAGATTCAAAGCTGCTTGGCCAATGCATTATGAAAATGTTCAAAATAATATGGATCAGTTATCAAAGTTTCTGTGGTGCGAAGTTAGTGGAACCCCATTAGAAGATATGGCTAAAAAAAGTTTATCTTTTTGAAAAAAAGCTTTGGAACTTAATACTTTTCCCAGAAATGATTATAAACATCTGTGTCAATATGTCATTGTTTTTCTGAAAGGAAGGGAGGCAGTTCCTGAATTTATTATAAACAAACCAGCTGCTGAACATGAAGCTCGATTTATGGCAGACGCTTTATACATTTTGGCAATGAAGCTTACTCAACCAATCATAAAGTTTTTAACCCTAGAGGAAGAAATAGTATTTTCAAAGGCTGAGATATATGTAGCTTCAGTTCATGCAAAAAACTTTCTTCAATCAAGTCAAATTGTTTCTGCTGCTCATAATGATTTGTGTACAGTTAAAGAGATGATAAAAATAAAAGATTTTGATGCTGATGTTTCTCAAGCTTTTATTTCAAGCTATCTTAGACACAGTTATTATCTTTCTGAAGAAACGGTTATCTTTTGTTTATTTGATAAAAGTCTTGACAACAAACTTAAAGAAAAAGTTGCTCAGCAGTTGTTAAAAACAAATTTACCTGAAATCTTTAAACTTGAAAAGTTTAAGCCTGTAGAAATAAATGAACATTCAGAACTTAATGATTACGTTGGTCGAAATTCTTGGCTAATTTTTAAAATAGTTCCTTACTTATCAAAGTGGTTAGAAAGTTCACCTGATTTGTGGACTTATGATTCTGATTATAAAAATATGCAAAGGTTTATAAAAAGGTTAGTCTGTGTCAATCACTGTTGCGAAAGAGCTATTAAATTGGTAAAAGACTTTATCGATTCAACAATTAAAGAGGAGAAGTTACAAGATATTTTACTGGTTTTAAAGGAACACAGAGTTAATTTTCCATTTTATAAATGTAACTGGTCCAAAGAAGTACTTAATAAATTGTAAGAAAAGTTTAACTTTTTATAAGAAAAATTCAACTGAATTTTTGATGTATATTATTTACAAAACGTATTTGTAAAACCTTTAGTCTAAGTCTCATACATTTTTAACAACTTTTATTTTTTATCTTTATTAAGTGCAATATTTGGATCCCTTATTAAACAAACTTTTAGAATGCAAGTTTTATTGAGTTTTTTAATCAATATTTAAGAGTATTTAGATAAATATACAATTTAAAACATAGTAAAAACCAGGTCTTTAAAAGAAACTGGGTTATATTTCAAAATGTGTTATCTCGAGAAATTTTTAATACTTTGAGCTCAAATTTAGTACCAACCTTCCTAATAGTAGACCCAGCTCATTCAAAAAAAAATTTATAAGTTTTGTTGGTCTTTGATCCAATTAAAAAAGCAATTTAACGAATAATTGGTCAAAAATGGCTTTTTTTATAATATTAAAACCCTCAGGGAGGTCAGGAAAATTAAAATATTTTAAATTTATTTTTTGGAATCGTCTTGTATATCAACGTAGAATGGGAAAATAAAGTGGCAAAGTTATAGTTTTTCTGACCCCTAAAAACGGACCTGCCTACTTAACGTACCTAGAAAAAGTAATGCCATCAGCACAATCTCTTGCATCCATAGGCAAAACAAGTCTTGTCAAATAATATATTTTTACCAACTTTATAACCTACACTCAGTATAAACCACATAAAGCTTAAAAAAAAAGAATTATTTAATAAATATATATGTAGTTGTTAATTGCTCTGTTCTTTTAAGAACGCTTTATTTTGTATATAATAAATATATATATATATATATATATATATATATATATATATATATATATATATATATATATATATATATATATATATATATATATATATACATATATACACGCAAGTGTGTTTTTTTATGTATGTATGTATGTATGTATATATAATATACACATATGTAAACACACGCACTTGTAAATATATATTTATTTTCAAGTTTGTTTAAATACAGATAAAAACTCAAAAACATTCGGTCTTATTTTCACAAAAATCTTTTATACTATTCGAAAAACAATATCTTCTAGTAACGTGTTAAAATACAGCTATCTGAATGTCTATTATTAGAATAAACTGAAAAAGGCAATCAGTTAGCTAATAAGTCTTTATAAGATAGTATAAGCTGCCAAACATAAACTTACAAATAATTCATTCATTTGGTATAATCTTTTGACTAGAATTTAATAAACGTTTTAGTAAAATCTTAAATTTTGTGAAATATTTTGGTTTTACCACGATGGAGGCCATTTTAAAAACTGGCTTTAAAAAAATCACGTGACACGGTCTCCTGATTATTAAACCTGTTTTTGTAAAACTAAGTATTTTTTTAAAACAATTTTATCATATTAATCAATTTATAAAATTTAAAGCATTTATAAAATTATATGAAAACAACCAAGTTAGAAACAAAAATAAAGTTGTTTAAGTTATCTACAACCTTAAGTTTTAGATGCATAAAGTGTTTTTAGGTCATTTTTTAAAATAAAGTTTGATTAACATGATATACTAGGTATTCAATCCAATAACTAAATATATGATGTTCTAATTAAATATTTTTATGATGTTCTAATGTTGCTGGTATTCTTATGATTCTACAAAACATTTGCTGAGTTGGTGTTTCAAACATTCACATACAGTTTATATTTTCGTTAAAGTATAAGTGAATTTTTCGTTAAAGTATAAGTGAATTTGAAAAATTTTTTTTTTAATTAACCTAAAGCAAGTTATAAAGGAGGCAAATAATTTCAATAGTTGATATTTAAACATTAATACAATAATTAAAATTATATGTCTTATGAAATTATTTGTTAAAATAAACTTATAAATATAATTATTTATACAATTTAAATTAGACTTAATCCATTTAGGTGTAATTCAAATAATGAAATATAAACAAAAAGCCATCTATGTACTTTTAGCTTAAAGAATATGTATGTCATATTGCATAGTCTTTATCTTAAAATTTAAAAAAATTGGTTTAAAAACTTGAAATTTTAACTGTGGCATCTTTTTTGCTTAGTTTTCATTAAACTTAATGTTTTCTTATTAAAATATTAATGTCATACAAAATTGGTGAGGGGTTTTTTACATACATCAACTGAGATGTCGAGTTTGGTCAGGAACTAGATATAGAGTATTCTTATTGTTGTGAAAAGGTTGGTTTGGCATTATTATTTATTTCTACTATTTTTAAAAAATATTAGCATTTTAAAATTAAAAAATATAGGAAAGAGTTGGGAGAAGTGGGACAAAAGTAGATTTTTTTTTAGGTAATTGCAAAATCTTTTTTATTTGATGTTTAGATTGAACGAAACAAATTTTTACGAATAAACCGTCTTTTTAGACACCGATTCAATTCCCTTAGGTTGCCAACTAATTATAACTAAGTATCTAAATTTTTGCTTTTAGAGAAACCGTGCCGTTGGAGTAAAGTGGAACAAGTGTGAGTTGAAGTAGGACAAATAGATTTAAAACAACATTTTAATACAAGTTATTAAATAGAAACTGATAAAATCATAAAATCACCTAATCAACATAAAAATGTTTAAGAGCTTTCACCAATCAAAATAATCAAATGGCGATGCAGCGAAGCGTAAATATATATTTGTTTCTGTCCCACTTCACCCCAATGTAAACCCTTTTTTTATAGTACATTCCAAAATTAGGGCTTCTAGCGTACGCAGGGAAACAAAGCAATTTCTGCTAAATAGAGGGGGAAAAATTTAGTTGTTAACATTAAATAACACTATATAAGCACCGCTCTTAATTAGAAATTTCATGCAGCAATTTCAATTGCTGGCTTTATATTTCTCCCGCGTCCCACTTCTCCCCACTCTCCTCAATTAAAAAAAGTAAACTATTTTTGAATTTAAGAATAAAGTAGTAAAACATCAATTTATTTTTAATATATAAGTATTAAAAAAAAATTAAATAACCATCATATTTCTTGTTGCACTGTTGAATCTCTGTATTATTACCAGGACAGTTATAGTATTTGCATGTTCTAGTTCTATTTCTCCAATTCGCCCCATTAAAAAAATTACAATATGACCAATCACTCCAGTCACTCCAAATACCTATAACAATAAAAATAAAAATAATATAAATTTAAAAACACTGCACGTGTTTTATTTGTAAACAAAAAAAATTATTTACTTGATATTTTAAAACTTGACCGATTTTTGAAGTCTTGATCATAAGTATTTGTTTCCTGTATAATTCGTGAAGAATAACCATCACAAGTAATATAGTAGGCTGGATAATTAGAAGCGTAAATTGATGTGAAGTTTTCAAAGTTTTTATTCTCAAACAATATAAATGATGCATCTTCATACATTCGAGCATCATTTGGATGTAAGTATAAATAATAATTTTTATGGCGAAGATATAAGTTTTCTGTTAATGATTTAAATGACACAGTAGATGCTTTTTCATTTAACCCTAATCAATTATAAAAGTAAACAACTGTTTAGATAAAATAAAGTCATAAACTGCAACATAAAAATGTTTTATATGAAGTAGCTTTACCTTTTACTATTTCAAAAAATAATGGAAAAGTATAGTTTTGAGTAGTTATATCCACGTATATTGGAGAGCAGTAAGGCATACTTCTTTGTGTTTCGAAGATGTATATTGAGTTCAATTCTTAAAACAAACCAAAAAAAAAAAATTTAATGAATAATAAATGAATTGATCACTTAGATAAAAAATTTAAAAAACTATTTTAATTAAAAGTCTAAAACTTGATACTTTTAGTTTAAAAGATTAAAACAACAAATAAAAAAAAACTATTAAAGTGTTATTATTTTCACTATTGTTATAAGGATAAAATAACAATTAGAATAATTTTAATTATAATAAAATTACTATTATAATTATTCATGTTGTTATTATTTATGTTGATGTTGATGTTGCTGTTGTTGTTGTTGTTGTTGTTGCTGTTGTTGTTGTTATTATTCTTAATGATACTGTTGCTGACGATGATCATGTTGTCGTTTAGTTAAACATGAATTTCTTTACATAAAAACAAAAGTTTAATTTACTAAAAATAAAAAATTAACCTTTTTTAAATTTACATATAAAGCCAAAGAGACTGTTGCAAAAAGTAACATTCCAACCATCATTGGTTGTTACCACACAGCCTTTATAATTCTGGTTTTTTGGTATTTCATCATTCCAATTAGTAAACTGTGAAATAGTTTTATCAGACCATTTCAAAATGCTTTCTGCTCGGAAACCATTATATCCTTTTCAAATAATGAAATTAAAAAAAGTATACGTATTCGATATATATATATATATATATATATATATATATATATATATATATATATATATATATATATATATATATATATATATATATATATATATATATATATATATTTATATATTTATATATATATGTATATATATATATATATATGTATATATATATATATATATATATATATATATATATATATATATATATATATATATATATATATATATATATATATATATATATATATATATATATTTAATAGTGCTGGGCAACGATTAAATATTTTAATCGCGATTAATCGCATGATTTTTTGCGATTAATTGCGATTAATCGCAGAAATACGAAAAATTCAATAATAAAACCACAAGTAGTATATATATAGCGTAAATTTATTTTTTCATAGTTAAATTAACATAACTTTTAATTTGTCAAAACTTTAAACAATTTTATCCATTCTTCCAACTTTACTTACTCATCTGCACCAAGCCAGTTACTAAGACAAACATGGTAATTCACATTTTCAGATGATAAAGAAACTCTCTTCTTTTGTACAATATGACCAGCAAGAGAAAACAAATGTTGGCATTTTCCTTACGTGTTTCCAGATCTATTCTGAACATAGATTTGAATTTGACTACATAGGCCGGGTCATCATCTGTGCTCTCCATCACCCGAGAGAGATGGCATAAAGCAGGCAGAACCACAGAGCATGAAACGTACTTTTCTCCACCCAGAAGTTCAGTCACATACCTGCAAAAACTAAAACCCATTTCACTCAAATGTTTTGCATTCACTAATACACACAAAAAGTGTTCTCATGTTCATGCTTACGCACAAATACAGACACATCAATTCTCTCACATGCAATCAAACCAGTCAGTAAGAAATATATGATGTAAAATATACCTGCAGGGTTCTAGGAGCTTTTCCAACCTCTGCAATTTGTCCATTTCAGCTGGAGTTGGCATAGCAACTTTTATGTTGTGTGTGGTGAGGACATCGCTCAGTAGCTGTTCGTTTCTGCGAACACTTTTTATCATGTCCAGAGTCGAGTTCCATCTGGTTGGAATGTCTTGTATAAGCGACTCCTTCTTTTGTCCAAGCTCAATTTGTTTTTTTTCTAATTCTGCAGCACTTGCTGGACTGTGTTTAAAATGGCCCACCACTTTTCTGCATTTAGCCAGGGCAATGTCAAACGCGCTGTTGTGCAAAGATACTGTGACAGAACACTGAAGACTGTGAGCGACACAAGGGACGCGTTCAAAAGGCAGATGTCTTGCAGCAGCGATAATATTTCTAGCACAATCTGTGCTAAGTGTGCTGACTTTATTTAAAATGTCCCACTGCTGTGCAACATGAATGAAATGTTCTGCGCACGTTTCAGCAAAATGTCTTTCTTGTGTCTTCATTACTGTCAAAGCATGTGAATGCAGTTTCCATTGTTCATCAATGTAATGCACAGTTACTCCGAGATAATTATGGTTACCCAGCGATGTCCAGTAGTCTCCGGTGAGGGCAACAGTTTGTGCACGTTGTAATGCCGTTGCCTTTATAGTCCTCTCGTTTTCATACAGTTCATGTATTTTTCTTACAATGGTGCGTCTTGGCGGAGGCTCATACGTGCAGTCATTCGTTGCGATCCGAATAACATTCTTCAAACCGACATCTTCCACAATACTAGTTGGCCTGCAATTTGTAGCTACCCACTTTGCAATGGCATTAGTTATCTTGTCTTTCTTTTGTTTCTCTGTAGTTCTCCCTCGTGCTGCATCTAACGTAGTCTGCCGAAGGTTTCCTCCACTGTTTGTTTGGGTGGATGATTTGTTAGCAACAACGGTGTGCATTGCATTTAAGTGATACTTCAAACTTGAAGTACTCCGATGATAAGAAAATTCCGCTTTGCAGTGTTTACAAATAGCTTTAGTTCTATCTACTCCTTGTTGAAGAGGTTTAAAATAAAAGTGTCCGTTTAAAATTTCGGTACCTTTTTCTATTTTTAAATATTTCTCACTTTACTTACTGCTTGTTGTTTGAGCATAAGCAATAACATAAATACGCACGAAAGTTTCAATTCTTTTATGATTCGATTATTATCGAATTATAAATAATTAAATTATAATTCGATTATTACATAATTTTGAAACAATACAAAATAAATAAACAAAACTATAAATAAACATAAATACAAAATGCAAAGTAACTTTTTTAATATATTAATACTAATATAAATTAATATAATAATAATTATAAGCAATAATAAGCAAAAAATATAAAATGAGAAACGAAAACTTTGACAGACAGTTTCACAAAAGAAAAATAAAGTTGAGCTTGTGAATCTTAAAAAAAAACGAGCGGCAGAAACTCATAATGAACTCATTGTAAAGACTAATAGGTGGAAAAAAAAATTTCATAAAAACTTAGCAAAAAAATATATTTTTTTACAATAATAAAATCTGGAGATAAATTTTGTAATTTAAATTTAATAGTTCTGTAAACTAAAGATTGAAAGGTCTGTTTTGATGAATTTTGTGCAGCCCTGTCACTTTTTAGTTTAATGAACTATTAAATTTAAATTAAAAAGTTTACTTTTCACTTTTTAGACTTTCAAAATAAAAAGTACGTTAACGCGCGATAAAATTATTGTCGGCGTTAATTAATTAATGCGTTAACGCGATAATAACGCGTTAACTTGCCCAGCCCTAATATATATATATATATATATATATATATATATATATATATATATATATATATATATATATATATATATATATATATATATATATATATATATATATATATATATATATATATATATATATATATATATATATATGCATATATTTTTCTTTAGTAGGACTATATATTTGTTACAACAAAAGTAAAAATAATTCAAAAAATACAAGATTGTTAAGAAAGCGAGCTAAATGGTTGCTGTACTTTTCAAGGTGAAGTCTTTCTCTGTGATTTGCTCTTGGTGCAATTGTGATGAGGTGAAAGTGCCTGTTGACTATGTCAATGTTATTAATAATTTTGTATTTTTGGATGAGTTTACCTCGTTTAAGACGTTCAACTAGGGTAATAGGCCAAGTTTTAAACATCTAATTTTGTAGTCTAACTTTTTCAGTTTGTCTGGTATTTTTGTGGTTCCGCGCTGAATTAGTTTTTTCATCCTTCGCCAAATTATTTTTTTTTTTGCCAGAGTGCATAACCTTGCATTTCGTTGCATATAGCTCAATGAGCCAAGACTTGGTCCAATAAACAAATTGGTCAATACCTGATTGGAGTTGAAGATGAGCAGCAAGTGAGGTGACAATGCTCAGGATTTTATTGTCATCAGCATAGATCTTATAACCTTTTTCTTTGTTTATTACATCCGGCAGATCGTTGATGAAAATGACAAATGAAAATAGACCAAAGACTAATCCTTGGAACCCCACTTGTCACAGGTAATTAATTAGATTGAGTGTCACCAAGGATGACTCTTTAAAACATGTTAAGTAGTAAAACTTTTATCCGATTGAGAAGACTACCTTCGATTTCGTACATTTTTAGTTTGTAAAGTATTCGTTGATGTGGCACTTAGTCAAATGCTTTTGGCAAAATCTAAGAAAATGACGTCAACTGGTAGTTTTCTGGTCATATTTCCATTCAGGAAGTCCATTGTTTCAAGGAGATTTGTAATGCATGCTTTTTTCTCTAACAAGCCATGCTAACAATTTGATAGAATATTGTTTCATTTTAGATGCTGCACGATTGCCTTCTTAACTCAATTTAATCCATTATTTTACATGGAATTGAGGTGAGAGATATTGGTCTGTATTTTGATAAGTCAATTCTGGAGCCCTTCTTAAATAAAGGTGTTATATTTGCTTTGGACCATGAGTTTGGAAATTTTACAATTGTCGAATGACTTTCGAAAGATGAGAGTAAGTGGAGTAGACATTGAGATAAATTGAGAAACGTAAAACGTGAGGACTAACATTGTTTACACAAGTGATTTTTATATATCTAGTTATAAGAGTTCCATAAGAGTGACCTGAGTCTCAAAAGTTATGCTTTTGAGGATTGTGTTAGTTCTACAATCAAAATGGGGAAGATGTCATTAAATGGCTCTTTGCTAAATTCTGCATGAAATTGATTGTTAATTGAGTTTGCTATTTTAATTTTTTCAAAGCTAATGATTTCATTGGAACTGGTGATTTGCATTAATGAGATCTGATTTAATACAGAGCGTTTACTATTTATGTATGAAAATAGTCTTTTAGGGTTGCGCTGTTCATTTTCAAGAGCAAATTCAAAGGATTTCAGAGTAGAACTATATAATTTTTTATCAAAATTTCTAGTTTCTCTATATTCCTCAACCAGAGATGTGATTTTCCATTTTGAACTGACGTTACGAGATAAAAGTTTTTTTGTCATCCATAGTTGTTTTTTGGGGGATTGGTTTGTTCGGCATACGAGGGATGAATTGAAGACAACATTTATCAGCCAAAGTTGGTAACATTGTTCTACGTATAAGTCTTTAAAAATAGATGACCATTCAAACCTATTGAGTTTTTTGTTGATTTTTTTGTAGTTACCATAGTTGTAAATAAATTTAGAGCTGTTGAAATTTTACGGTTGAAGCCAGTTTGTACTGCCATGTGATAGAGCAATGATATTGATCAGACAAACCGAGTGCAGAACCAATGTTGGTTTCGTTAGCACGATATGGAGAGTCGCATATTATGAGATCAAGAGTGTTTGTCTTAGGGCGATTAGCAGGTTTTAAAGTAGGAACAGTGACATTTTGGTGAAAATGTCAATCTTGAAGAAGGAAGACAAATGAAGAAGTGAAACAGATTTTACTAAAGGAGAAGACTGAATTAGAAGTCCAAGTATTCTCGGGGAAATTGAAATCACTGGCAATGAAGATACCGTTGTATTTTTTAGTCAATACTGATGTTTCGGCATAAAAAACAGCACTTGAAATCTCTG